GGACTTTGTGCTAAGAGTACGGTGGTATTGGTATTATGAACATTGGTATTGTGAACAGTGGTATATCGGTGCTTAAGATCTCCCAACCAAAAATATATATTATTTTCGTATTTTAAAAATTATTATGTTTTAACTGGACATTTGGATATGGTTGATTGTGACTTGTTGTTTCTATGGTTTTTCTTTTCTTATATTGGCATTCTATTTTGAAAGTGGACAGTTAGCTTTACATACTAGTACTATTCCATATGAACTAACGTCCCTTTTGTCGGGGGCGCTGCATCTTCAATGGATGCAGATGGTTCATCAGCGGGCATCTTTGGTCCTCGTTAGCAATCACTCTCTATTCAGCAGGTTTTGGTGAGCCCTACTCTATTCCGGTCCTGATGTCATTTGAGTTGTACATTGTGTTTTAAGGTATAGCCGGGGCCTTGTTTCCGGCACTTCCATACTACTCTTCTATTGTACTCAGAGGCTCCGAAGACAGTTTGTGGGTGGTGTTTGATATGGGGAATTGAACTAAAAATATTGGTATTTGGCAAATAAATTTTTTATTATATCTATAAACTTGTAATAATTTGGAAATTATGAATGAAACTGCTAATGGAAATAAAATGCGAGTTGTTAATGAAATCTTTTCAGTGTTTGATTAATGCAGTACATCTTCTCTTTATTCATGGATGAGTTTGGGTAGAAGAAAATCTAACAGGCTTGCCCGGCCGGATCCATTCGGTTGAGCGCCGGTCACGCTCCCTGAGTTTGGGGCGTGACAAGCTTAGTCAGGCCCAGGAGGCACCTGGTTCCAGCAGTGCACAAGGCATAGAGATTGCCCGTCTGACCAAGGAAAATGCAGATCTCAGGAAACAGGTCGATGACCTGAAAGAGTGGTTGCTTAACGAGCAAGTGTCTGCAAATGCCCAAATGGATATTCTCCTCAGAACCCTTGCCTCTTCATCCCTGCCTTCCCCCTCTAGTACTCCTTGAAACAGTTCTCTTTCGAGTGTCTAGTTAATTGATGTTTGTCCTCTATCTTGGTTCCCTTGTTTTGTTGTTTTTGGTGCCTGGTACTTTATAAGTTGTTTTGATTTGTTCATGGTTGTGTAACAATGGTACTACTATTTATGTTTTCTTTTCCTTAAAATTACTGAGTATTCCGTCCTTTTACTATGCATATTATACTCTTATGCTCTGTTTTTAGTCATGTTTATGTACACACGTGTGGCATGAGTTAACTATGCTGGACTTCTTTTTGCTTATTATTTGTGAATATTATTTTTATGATGCCAAAAGGGGAAAAATTAATTGAGAGGGGGAACAGGTTCAGGGGGAAGTACAGGAAATATTATATGGCATTCTGGTTCTCAAGGAAAACTTCAATTATAAGTTTGTCATCATCAAAAATGGGGAGATTGATAAGTTATGTGCCTTGTTATGTTTAGATGATATAACAAACTCAATGATAAGAACCAGATCGGGAACCTGTTACACATACTCAAGGTGCCAAAATACAATAACTTTTAAATCGGGCACAAGTTCCAACAACTAGAATCAAAGAGACGACAGAGGGAACATATGGACATTAGTTCCCCTACTGATTGTACCAGTCAATTGCTCACAGTTGTAAAGTCGCTGCAACTGCTCCTCTGCACACATGCAACCGTGTGAACAGTGCAGCAGTCACCTTATGGGGAATGTCTTGTACCGGATATTTGCTTGCATCATCCAAGTGACATCACTTGGATACTATTAACATGAAGTAATGAAGAAAACATATACTTGCATATCCGAGAATTAATCAAGTTTCCTCTAAAGTGTGTTGCCATCTTGCAAGTGACTTCCAGGCTTCAAGAGCAAAGAACAACATAACGAAGGACCAGTTTTCAGCATTATGTTATTACATGTCCTTAGTTGCGTTGCACCTTTGTTAGAGTGATTTACTTGTAATTCCTACTTAGCTTAGCTAGAAGCATTGTGCAGGAAACCATTTGTAAAATCATAAACCTTGTGTTTGTGTCTTGACTAGACTTAGTCGAGTTGTGAGCTTTGTAATAGAGTTATTACAAAGAGTCTTGTAATAGAATTATTACAAGTGAGTGAGGGATTAAGAGTTTAATTCCTAGGTTACAATAGGTTGTAATCTAAAAGTTGCTTGGTTAGTGAAGTTGAAATCCTAAGCTGAGAGTTTTTCACGTAAAACACTGTTATGTCACTTATTTATCTCTTATTGTGTGTATTATGTGGGAACTGATCTATTCTGTTTGGTGGACCCTAAGTTTCAATCAATATTGTTTGCACTTTCGTGTTAGATTTTTTGTTTAGTTTTTTTTTCCTCTATTTTAAGTCCAAATATATGAGAACAAACTATTGTGATTATTAAGTTACTCAAGCTGCCTTTGAAAAGAAATAAAGTTACTCAAAGCTTCGAACATTACAAAAGTTAATTGATCTCACTTAACATGAAATGATGGTAACGGTAGTTATTGCTCTTTTGTTCAATTGCCTTAAAAAACTATCCAACCCATTTTTTAGACAAAATAATATCCAATAGATTAAAATCCTTGTAATCTCTTTGATAACTGTGATCGTATTTCTAGTCATCTTATTTTTTGTCATAAAGCTCTTAATAAATTTTATTAGTAAGAGCCCGTTTGGATTTACTTATTTTAAGTATTTTTAAGTCAAAATAACTTTTAAGCCATTTTGTAGCATTTGAATAAAGTAAAAAAGCGTTTTTTAAGCACTTGTTTTTAAGCTAAAATGACAAAAACAAGCCAAAAGCTAAAAGTTAAAATTCCTAACTTATGGCTTAAAAGCTGCCCTGTTCACTTTTACTTGACACGTTTTGACTTTTCACGCCCTTTAAGAAATAATAAATGAAGTGCATAATTTACCATGATACCCATATTAATTGATGCATATTTTATTGGATTTGAGAAAATGATTTTAAATGAGTAATAAATACTGTAGGTATAACAGGAAAAAAAAATTATCTTCTCTTGATATGCGTAAAGTGACAAGTAAAAATAAAAATCTATTTTTGGTATACATGCCAGGTAAAAGTGAACGGAGGGAGTATTTTGGCTTAAAAGTCACTTAAAATAAGCCCAAATCCACATGCCTCTCAAAATAAACAGAAGTTAAATCATCTCCAAATTTTCTTCTTTGACAAATGAATTAGCCACTGGTGCATCCCTCTTTCTTGTTCTCCTCTCCCTCTCTTTATTTGTGTTTGATCACTTACATCTGAAATTAAAATTCTCATCTTTATTTAACAGGTTAACCAACAAAAAAATTTAGCAGGTTAACAAATATTAGTAACATCATTATGGTTGATTTCTGTTTGACCTTTAGCTACACGGAATTTACTAAAAGATTGGTGAGTTTATCTGTGACTTACAAATCTGAAGATCAAAACTAACTCTAATACATAATGTAGGGATCTCCACAACCTGGTTGTGAATCCTTCAGTCACCCACCTTCGCACAAAAACAAGTCGGATAGACTTCGTTTCATGCCACATTCCGTTGAATACAATCCATCAAAGGGCAAAAGGAAAAATGAAAATTAGGCTGACGCGCACAGACAAGTAAAGGTAGCCCTCACCCGCCAAATCATGAATATGAGGCTCAGACCAATGCAAGTACGTAACCAGGGAGGGCTAATAAAGCAATCTGCTTCAGAGAGCAATCCTGATTCAGCAAAAAGTACATTTCTAGAGGTACATACCGAAACACGACAAGCAAATTTAAAAGAAAATACTAAACTACAAAAGATTAAGAAGTGTTTGCCAACACGAATTTTCTCATGCTAGCAAAGTTCTCCCTCTCTTTTAAAGATGAAACAGTAGTTGAGTCTTTAGGACGGCCAGTCCTTTGAGCATGACATCATTTTCAACAAGGATGAGCACTTGCTACTATATCCGGCCTACACTAAAAGTGTAGTAAGTCATCGCTTGCAATACACCCTCTTCAAGAAGCATTCCTGCTTCTCAATTAACCGACTCCCTACAAACAGGGGCGTATCTAGAGTAGAAGCTATGAATTCAGTTGAACCCATAGTTTTGGCTCAGACCCTGTATATTTTTCAAAAACCTCAATAAATAAGTATAAATAATAGATTTTAACCCAAAAAATTAGATGGGATGTGATAGAATTTTGAATCTGAACCCATAAAGATCAAATCCTGGATCCACCTCTACCTGAAAAAGCATTTGTTTCTACTCGTGAAGATGAGTTACTACACAGATGGAGAATATTTAGCTGTTCTAGGTTCAGATTTATTGCTTATTTGAATTTTTACAACTGCCTTCAGAAAATTTAGCTAGTCTTTCGCCGCTAAGCTAAGTGTCAAAAGTATTTTTACAGGTTCTGCCTTCGCTATGAGATGTATCATAAATATGCCAATCTCTTAGTATTCTTCCAAGAGTCTACATATAAGTGCTCTCATGAACATCATTCTTATCATTGTTTGCTTCCTGGAAAATAAATGTTCAAGTCCAAGTATTTTCTTTTTCTTTTTGGGGTACCTTTCCATCCCCCCCCCCCCCCAAACTCATTTTCGGGTGGAAAAACATACATGACCGCGTTATTAGTTAAACAGGAAAGTTTTCTAATTCATAGTTAAATTTAGGGCAATACACTGATGAAACAGACTGAATGACTCCAGCTTCAAGAAGCTAAAGAAGGATGTGATAGTAAGAATAAATCAAAATACCGGCCTTATCATGATCCAATATTACTAGTATAACTCTTGTGAAGCTGCTTAATAGGATTCCGCCTCGTTCTCATCCTATCCACCTCGTTTTAGAAAAGCAGAGATAGAACAAGTCAAGAGAAGAAAATGAAACTCCAGTATACTTCAATGATCAACTGGTGCAATGAAGAATGTGAAGAGCATATGATAAACTTAATTCACAAATACAAGTGAAAATTTTGCAGAGTCAAATCATCAACTATTAGCAAGTCAACAAAAGACATAATTCATAGCAAAACAAGCAATTATAGAGTGACAAAGTAACCACATACTGATATTATTGACAATAAAATTTTCAACAAAGTTCACATATAGAAAAAGAGAAATGCCACTATTTTCTTAACATGTCCAAAAAATATAAATCCAGAAAAGGCCCGTGAAATAAAAGGTGAAGCAGTTAAATCTTGTACTTGTACTTGGCTACCTCTCCTTCATTGGGAAAAAAGCCCATGAGCCTGCCAGCAGAATTCTGGTAAGCGTACATGAAACCACCCATTAACCCAATTAAACCTCCCGTCACCATTGACGGCCCCCTAATCCCTGGTTTTATTCCTGCCCATATTCAAAAAAGAATTATCATTAACAAAGCTCAGTCGATAGATTGATTGATAAGAAATAAAGGAGAGGTAGGAGTATACCGGAGAGGTAGCCGACGGTGACGGAGATGCCGGAGATGGTGGTGAGACGGAGGTAATCGAGGGTGTTGAAATTGGCAACGGTTTTAGTAAAAGGTGGGTCTCGATCTATAACCGGGTATTCGGGCTTTGTCGATGCTGTTATGTCTGTGTTCATCTTCCTTCTTCTTTCCTCTTAGCTGCTGCTCTTTCTAGTCGCTCGTCGGCGACGGGACACTCAGCTGGTTTTTAATCGGAAAATGCAACTTCATTAGTTGTATTTGTTCGTCTTTGGTAATGGGCTTGTCCATATTGATTAGTCACTCCCGTGGATCCATCAATCAGAACTCGTCCAAATAGCATGGCATAGCTGTTTTTAGTGAAAATGGCACCGTGTATCAACTTTTTATGTATGTTGTTTAAAATATATCTACATTTTATTATGTATTTAAAGATTAACCAATTTCGCTCAAATTTCAGGATACGACGTCTTAGAATTTAAATCTCAAAGTTTAAATTTTATGACATCGTGTCCTAAAGATCGAAAATTGTGTCCACAAGTTCGAATCTTATGTCCTGAATTTTAAATTAGTAATTCAGAAATTCAGGACACTTAGTCCTGAATTTCAACTTAGCAGCTCAAAAATTTAGGACACCAAGTCCTGAATTTCCAAAATTCAGGATACTTAATCCTGATGTTTAGGTGAATTGGCTAATCTTTAAATACATTGTAAATTATAGATATATTTTAAATAGCGGACTTTAAAATGGCTATTATTGCACTTCGCCCCCATTTTTACGGGTGGTTATACAAAAATAGCCAGTATTTATAAAATTATTGAAAAGTAGCCACTATATAAGGCGGAGATAAAATTTGGATAAAAGTACCCTAGTTAAAACACATAAAGTTCCAGCATAATATGTAGGATTATGGAACTCCTACATATAAACTTTCAGCATATTATAGTAAAACTCCAGCACATTATGAATTTCAAAACATTATGATGGAATTTCATACGTAGAAAATTTGAACTCCATGCTGGAATTTTTCCGGAATTTTAAGAGTTTTTTTTTATCAAATTTTATTTTCACATAAAAAAATGATTAAATTTCGATTACTCTTAAAATTATGGATAATTTTTAATCACCAGTTGTAAATCATGTTATTAAAAAAGAATTTTAGGAAACCACTATTGTTTAGTGGCTATTAACTTCCTATAGCTACCATATACATAATTACTTCCTATAGCTACCATTCAGTTGTTACGATTGTGTATTTGCGCTGTTGTATTCATGAATACAGCAGCAAAAAGCGCCTAAAATCAGAGTAGTCCAGCTGTACGTGCATGTATTCACCTGTATTCGCGCTATGTATTCATGAATACAGCAGCAAAAAGCGCCTAAAATAGGTAGTCCAGTTGTACGCGCATATATTCGCGTTGCTGTATTCATGAATACAGCAGTAAAAAGTGCCAGGGCAGTCCAGTTGTATGCGCATGTATTCACATGTATTCGCGCCATGTATTCATTAATACAGTAACGACAATCACCTTAAAAATAGGTATGTCCAGTTGTCTAAGAGATAGGAAAAACATAATAGTGTATTTCATGTCTCAATGGTAGTATATACCATAAATACTTATTTTGCTATAAAATATAAAAGGTAGCTATAGAAAATAATATTTTAAAATATATATGATGTAAAATTTCCTTTCATTTCCCTCGAGAACTCAGAAGCCCATGACAACTTTACCATGGGCTGGTCCATAGTGGTGTCATCATCTCTTGATCGAGAAAATGTCACTGTTACCACATTATTTCTCCGGCAATTACGGAGGAAATAAATCTATTTTCAGTTCCTAAGTAACAAATGGATATAATTTTTTAATACAACCACTGAATGTACGTAACATCTAATTACATGCAAGCAGGTGATGATTAGATAGCGAGGTCACTTTTTAATGTCTTTTTCCCTTTGTAATATTACTAAAATTTATCCTCTCCCCGCCATCCGAAACAGTAAACATCCACCAAGAACCCTGGTTAATTTTCTGTTTGTTGGCAGTTGCGTAGCAACATTGTCTCAAAGATGGTCTAATTTAATTCTTTTTATTTTTTAGAAAAATTACTTTGTGTAGATACGAAATACATACATTTTAAAACTTATATACATTGATTGTCATATTGTAGTAAGACAAGAAAAATTAACACGAGAAAAACTTCTAGCATAGTGATAAAAATAACCTAACTGTGATATTTTAATATTAAATAACTCCCCTTATCCCCAATTTTGTCGCCGTCCCTAGTGCTGAGTTTGGGCAGTGATATCGTTGCTTAAGGTTATATGTGCTTTGAAATCTTCTAGGTGCTCATATTTAGTATCATAACTTAGATTATTATTCATACCAACAATCATTATCTAAAAAATCGTTGCTTTGGCATGGATAATGTACTTTTAAATATTAATCCCACGCACTCCTATGTCCGACTAATCAATATTTCTCGTAAATCTGGATACTCTGCGGTGAGACCTCTCCCTCGGTCTTCACAAACCAGTCAAACACGCCAACCTTAATTTTACTCCGCACTAAATTATTCACAGACTAACACAAACAAACCTACCCAACAAAAACAAACTAGCCTCACCTACACTTTTATCATTTAATCATGGATAATTTATATTCTCTCCTATCCACTTTAATTAATTTTTTACTCTTTTTTTTTATTATGATCCGTAATATTTGGTTTTATCAGATATCAAAAAGGAATTAACTTCTTTTTTGATTGGAATTGCGGGATGAATAGATATTACAAATGATGAATCATTTATATGTCTGTCACTTTATCTTTGTTAGTGCTGTCTGCCTATAATAATAGGTAAATCAAAAACTTTTCATTCAACTTATTCTTTCAATTGAAATTGAGATTTTTCCTATCTTAAGATTTAAGGTCATTTCTTCAAATTGCTCTCCATTTCTAAGTTCATAGCCTTCGCGGTAGCTTCATCGATATTACCTACCAAATAAAAGGCCTGTTCAGGAAGACCATCTAATTCTCCGGAAATGATCAATTGAAATTCTCGAATTGTTTCTGCTAGAGCAACATATTTCTCTGAAGAACCGGTAAATACTTCTGCTACAAAAAAGGGTTGTGATAAGAAACGCTCAATTTTTCGCGCTCTTGCTACGAGTAAACGATCTTCTTCGGATAATTAACTTTTTTTTCCCAAAATTGCTAGAGCCTAATAGTATCTATTATATTTTCAATGAATAAATTCAAGTATTAATTAATGTTAAAAATTGAATTCCTTAATATGTGAGAAATCAAGCAAAAAAATAATTAAAGAAGACCCGGGGAGTATTGTATTATTACCCCAAATAGAACAAAATTTATGTCTGCACCTTGCAGGTGACTCGTATTATATGTCGTAGTTTCTAAAAATTGTTAGTCTCAAATTATTTATCATTTTAGAAGTTCAAAATAAAATTAATTATTTTCTTCTCATTTTACCCTTAGTAGTAATTATTCTTGAAAATGGAAATGACACATAAATAGAATAAATATTCAATAAAGATAGACTATATCCTAAGACATAAATAAGGATAAAATAGTAAAAATTCCCTTCTAATTAATGTCTTTTAAAGGCCGTGTAGAAGAGACGGAGGGAGTAGTTATATAGTATTACATTCTTTCCCAAGGAAAACTACGTGTGTCCTATTGTCTATGCTATGCCTAACATCTAGAAAAAGCAGAGAAAAGACCTATGAACTTTCTTACATGTACGTTTTTGTGTATCTCATATTTCCTAATTGGCCAAGTTATTTTAGCCCGGCCGTGTGGAGGATCTACTTCTGATATTCCTCTATCTATATGCACTACATCAGCAAAAAGCCTTTAATTTCGTGAATGTAAGGGGTCGGAGCTGAAGAAGGGAAACAAAAGACTTGCATTGTCTCGAATTCAAGATGCTGCCTTCGAAGTATACCCATATAACGTGTCACCGGACCTAAATGACTGGAGATATGCTGCTCGTTATTCCAGATGCGAATGGACTGTCTGGTAGGTTGTTTCCTTGATTGCTGTAGTAATACAACATAAAAATAAAAAAACTAAATGAGTCCAAGCGAAGTACAAGGTTCAATTTGCGAAGACGTACAAGTAGATGAGATTCACAACATAAAAATGACTCACAAAACCCCAGTTATAGACAGCCTAATCAGTAACCAAAACTGTCATGTTACACATACAGTTACCCCTAGGACCTACCTTCGAACTATGTGACATAAGTTTTGGACCTGTTCTGTGGGACAATTATGTGGATGCAGAACATAATGTAATGTAAATACTCTGCGCACTTTTGGAACGAGATGACAGCAAACGGAAAGACAAAGTAAAGAAACATCAAGACAAGCTTTTTTGTTAATTCAGTTGCTATGCAAGTAACATCAAAGTGAAAAGAGGACTTGTTATCAAATTTTAGAAAATACTGGTAGATATGTGAGTCGATGACTATCATAACTAATTTATAACTCCAGTATATACCTCTCCTCATCAGCACAATGGCTTCCTGAATGTTTGGGGTTATCTTCATCCGAGTATCCGCTGTTCTGAACATCTGATAGATGGCTGAACCGTTCTGCTGACAAGAACTTACAACGCTCAGTGCACTTGCAGTACAGAAAATCAGTGTACTAAACGGTGAAGGCAGGTGGCTGAAGTCGGTAACAATAAAAAGAGTATATACATACGTTGAGAAATGTTAAATTCATCCATGGAAGCGTCGAAATAGGACAGAGCGGCCATGGATTTTTGCGACAACTGCAGCTGTGCAAGTCGCCTAGACTCAAGTTCAAGGGCTTGCTCTTCCATTATATGCTTCCTTAGCAGTCTGGAGTACGCCAATCCTGTTGACAGTCCACGATATGTGTTAGATAAAAAAGAGCAAATGATTAGAGCATGCAGAAGTTGATTAATAAAATGGCTTTACAGATATGGATGTTCATCCACACGCCATAGTAACTAAACCTTTCAGGGAAAAGAAATTTCATTCAGTCTACAATGACAAATGAGCAATATTTCAAGTGCAACTGTCTTACTTTCTTGTAGCCCAGAATCCAAATCAGCATGATGTACATGGTAATATATTGGTGACTCCATTTTCTCCTGGTGTCTCCTGCGGGAGAAGAAATTAGATTAGACAGGTTTGACCATTGTGAACTAGTAGAAGTATATCAGATCTAAATTGGAAACTATAATCCGGTTAATATCAAAAGGAAAGATCAGTTAAAATGAACAAAATGCAAGAGTAATTCACTTCATAGATACAAGAAGGAAATGAAAGAAAAAGAAGAAGCTAAATTCTCAGTGTAACTCCAGGCTTCCCTTACCAAAGCATGCAGAGAGTATAAAGATCAACTTAATCGAGCAATCGAGATGTGTCATTAAGGAATTGCAGTATGATTAGAACCTATAAGGCACTAAAAAAAAGCCGTGATTTAGGTTGACTTTAACCAAGAGCCTATAAGAGTACCTTTCGAATAGCTTTGACTTCTCCCTATAAGGTTTGACAAGAACGCGAGCACCACACACATAATGTGGATTTCCTGTTGACAAAACCAATTTTACAGTATCTGCACTGAAGAAGGTAACAAATCCAAACATCCGTTTCTGCTGACATGGCATTCTTACATCTTGAACTGGGCCAAAAGTGCTGAAAACAAAAACCAAAGATCAGAGAAGTATTGAACGCTAACTAAAAGGAAAAGCACATAAACATCACATGTTGGGTTGCATACTTGAAGTAATCAGAGACATCTTCCTCCGTAAAAGTGCTCTCAGCAAGGAATGTCAAATATATCTGACGTGAACCGCTAACAATAGGACCGGGATCACTTCTTTCACCATGAGAGTCCATGTACTTTGCTGCATCTTCAGCCAGTATTACAGAATGTTGTCCATGAGGCCTGTAACATAACATCCAAACATATTAGAAGTTAAATAGGATCGATTGACTAAATAAAATAATGCAAGAGTCCAGGTAACAAACACCTCTCAATCAGACGAACAAACTTCAATCGAGCAAGAAGCTTTGTCAAATTATAACCAGCTTTACCATGTCTCTGGCTCTCGGTTAGATACCCTTCCGCTTGGAGGGTTCTCCCATACTTCTCATAATACATCATGGGCAGTGATGCAATTGAAAGAGGATGCCCTTTCTTGGATTTCAAGAGCTCTGTTATCTCTAGCTCTAATTTCTCCAGGGAACCAGGTGAAAGTACTTGATCTTCATCACCATTTTCACATAAATTAGGGTCAACCATATGATGGTAGCTCTCCAGAAATGGATAAGCATGAAAATACCTACAGCTAGTACCATTTTTACAGAACCCCTTGTTGAAATAGTGGCAAGCCTTAACTGGAAATTTAAACGGATTTGGAGAATTTCTGCTGCGCCTGATTAGGGCTGCTTCTGGATAGCAGTAATCACTATGGTAATTTAAATTTTCAAAGTCCATTGTTTCTTCAAGTTGGAGAAACCGTTGCGAAGGCTCATAGTCCGAGTAAGGCATTTCGGTTAACTGAGAACGTTTGTCAGTCAGTTGAGGTTCGCAACAAGAGGAGGCTACATCAAAAGCTGATGAAACTGAACATGATGAAAGAGGTGAAAAGTGTGCAAACTGCATTAGGGGATCTGCTATATGTGCTGGATTTATAGAAGGTGAAACTGGATTGTAAAACATTGAAGTTGAGTTTAGTTTAAGGGCATTTTTTGCCTTTTGGATCACGTTGTGAATTAAGGTATCAGGGCCTAATGCTAATCGAATCATTTCCTGATTGGGGAAGTCTTGCAAGTAAATATAGCCAATAATCTTCCTTGTAACATGCTCTGGTTCAACTCTCAGGATTCTCTCATGCACAAGTTTAGCTGCCTCAAATGGGTCCATTGCAGCAAGCTACTGTATCATGTGTACCAAATTGAACACAAAAGAAAAAAAATGCAGTTATAAGCCAAATAAAGGTACACCAAATGATCATATATAGGCAACAACATAGGTACGGCAACAATGAGTGTTAATACCCAGAGGTGGAGCCAGGATTTGAAGCTAATGGATTCGGGATTCTATTCCTTCTGAGTTACTGAGTTCTAAATTAATAATTTGTGCAAATTTAATAAATTTTTAAAGGCAAATATAGAGTTTGGACCAAAGCTACTGGGTTTGACCGAACATGCGTCCGAAGTCCCAACTAAGCGAATATCCCAAGTCCCAACTAAGCGAATATTACGGATGGGCTAACCTACTACTACAAGATCCTGTAAGCAGAGGCGGCTGAGTTTATTGTTTATAGGTTCAATTGAACCAAGTATTTTGACACGGAACATAGATACAAATGTGACGAACTACTAAAATTTCAACAATTTTGAATTCTATACCCGTAATATAACCTTAAGGTTGAACCTATCAGGTTTAAATCCGGTAAGATGGAACTCATTTTCAAAGTTGGAAACTTCTTCTTCTTTTTGGGAACAGGAGAATAATTGAAACTAGAAACGTGCTCAATTCATGTTAAAAGATGACTAGTTTAACAGAGTAACAGAGACGGGAGAATTTGATAACTACAATACCCATAAAAAACAGGCACAGTACAAAGAAAAAAGAACACTACTCCTATAATTTGCAAATCATTGTCAAAAGTTAAACATGCCAAGCGAGTTTTATTTTTTGGGACTCAAACCTCTGAATCTACAGTCATTTCAACAAGAAAGACATGCAAAAACTTTTTTTTCTCAGATTTTTGCAGAATCCTAAAGCAGAATAATATACACATGGTAGCACGCATCCAAAAAAAAAAGACAATCTTGACTAGTGAAAAAGTAACTGGAAAACAAGAAGAAGATGAGATTCAACATACCCTTATTCTTATATGGAAACAACTTGCACCGTTAAGAAATTAAACAGTCAGAGTGAAGCAGACATTCTTTCTCTCTGAATGTTGCAGAAACACCTTAACACTGTAGCAACTGCTTTCATCACTTCAAATACATTAGGCTAAAGTACTGATTCAACCCTTTTTTTTTTTTAATTTATAACAGGAGTTATTATAAAATCACTTGATTATTCATAACTTTTGAGATAAGTATCATTTTGAAATACAGCTAGCAGTTACCAATCCAAAATCTAAATTTCCTAGATTTACGAAGGTTGAGTACAGCTTGAAGTATGTAACTTGACTAAATTACCCCCTACTAGAAATCCAAGTCAGATAATTTTACCACAATAAAGTTTTTTTCTTGTTTGGGTAAAGATAATTATCCATAGACAACTTTCGGAGATTCCAATGTCCAGAAAGAGTTTAAAAGCATATGCAGTGTCTTTTGTCCCAGCCTATGGTTTGGTCATCTTTTCTTAACTATATTGAATAATTATAGTTGATTTATTAATTTTTGCAAATAACTGGAATTTTTTTAAAAGAGACCTAATAATTACTGTTTTAATTTAATTGTAAAAAATATTTTTAGTAACCTAAACATGGAAGTATTTTTGTCGATATAACAGGAATGCAATAACATCTCCTAGAGTAGCTTTGGTCAAAAGTCACTATTCACTGAAATTATGTGACGACTTGTGACTTCCAGAATGAAGCAATATATAGATGAAGCAATTTGTGAAGGATGCAAACAGAATATTTGTTAGCTCAATCATTATTCATTACTTATGAGTTTCCGAGTGTGACCCACCTGTGTTCACTATTTTCCAATGTGATGTTTTAATTTTAGGGATTCTATAGTCATAAATTGAAGGTGATGCCGACTTACCACTAAAGTATCATTGCTTGTCTAAAGCGACACAAATATTTTTGGCATTCATAAAATAGCATGTCCCGAGTAAAGGTGAGAATTGTCATCGTATATATAACTAAAAGATTACGAATTTAAGTTGTAAAAACAATCTATTACCAAAATATAAAATAAGCATATAATAAATCTGATAGAATCCAATCTTCTCTTCAAGCGTATTAGTAGCTTAGTGCACCGAACTTTCTTAAATAGTTGGCTCAGAAGGGGGAGTGATTTTGTTTACTCGTAAAACGGTACAGTTGAATTTATACGTAGTTTCTAGACAAGTGAATTAATTTAATCCTGAAATAATTAAAGAAATGCGCAATACTTAGCCTTGAAATAAAGGTAAAATCACGAAAAATAGTAATTCCGTGGGCAGAACTTTTGGGCACAACATGATGAAAACAAGGAACAAGAGAGTAAAATTATATAAAGCTTTGGATCATTTATGGCATAAATTTGCCTGAAAAGTCGTCTCCTTTACAATGATAACATAGCTCACTATTTATAGCTACGCCTAGGAACAAGGTCCTAGTATTGTGCCCTTCTTTAATGTCAATTATGAGGGCCATTGATGAAGGTGTAACTGTAAGCATAAATGACAAATTCTCTGTAAAGGGCAATGCACTAAATGATGTAGAATATTCTCCATTAAATGCTACTGGTCGGAGGGTATTTGTTGGATCTTTATGAGTGTCATTCTTTCCGGTGACAAATGGGGCAACTGCCTTCAGTTCTAACTATCCCTCGCCTTAAGTTCCACGTGTCATTCTCTTAAACGGCCACGTGGCATAACGTATTTTACCGTATACAGATAGTCCCCCTGCTTTCTGGTGACATAACTTTGTGTCATTGGGAAGTTGGTAGAAAAATTCTTTTTGACGGGAACTACTATGATTCCTTCTTAAAAGCTTCTGATGGTTGATTAGACGCACGTATCTCGGCGTTTAATGCCCCAAACACGCGTCATCCCACGATTCAACATAGAATTTGCCGGTTATCGAGGTAATCATGGCCACGAATGTAGTCGCCTAAACCTTTACTTATATGCATCAACCTTCTTCACTCATACTCCATAATTCGTCAAACTCTCTAAAACTCTCTTTATTGTTCTTCAACCTTTCTTTAACTTCCTTCAAGCGAAAAAGCTTTTCCTTCATCCATAATATATAATGGCTTCTTCTTCAAAGAACACCAGCTCTTCAAAGGAAAAAAGCAAAGTCGAGGACGCTGCTCCTCTAACAGTGGGCGCCATCATCCCTAGAAGTCTTGTTACAACAAAAGACTTTGAAGAGAAATTCCTTTCAGCTAACCCTCGCATGTGGGCTGTTGGCAGATACCCTTCGTTCATCCGTCCTTCCAGTATTTCTATTGTGAAGGAAGATTGTCGCTGCCAAGATTTGAAAATTGTTTCTCCTGATCTAACAGAGCGAGTAACCCTACCCAGGGAGGGTTTTACATACTTTTATCCCTTTACTTTAGGTGCATTTTCTTTGAGTTGAGAGCTTGATTCTGTTATTGCGGAGTTCTGCCTCCGCTACCAAGTGTGTTTGGCACAAGTAAGTCCTTCTATGTAGAGTAAGATTGCTTGCCTTCGGTGTTTGTGCCAAGAGACGGGAGATGGGTTATCCTTAGCTAATGTGATGAATCTCTATTCCCCCAAAGTCTTCCGCGGAGGAATGATAAACTTCAGCAAACGCGGCCACCATGCTCTATTATCTAGCATGGATGACGACAACCACCATGGGCGGATGGAACAGTTCGTTAAAGTTGTCACCAATGATATCATTCTGGCAACAGCTTCAACCTTTCCGGAATCATGGAACCACACTCGTAAGCTCTTTGTTCAGTATCTCTTTTATTAGGAATTCTTTCATATCCGTACTAACCCTCCTCATTTCGCCTATTTCAGCAAACCGATGGGTTCCACCTAGGGTTGAAGGCTTTGACCAGTGGGTCCAAAATATTTTGGACGTTACTACGCCCGAAACTCGTACATGAAAAGAACTGGCCCTTAAATACGGGTAGAAGGCCAAATATCATGGTAACTTAAACTCGTCTTGTTTTTGATTTTTACGCAAGGAAATTGATTGATCCTTTCTCCCCTTTTTCTGAAATCAGGTCTACCTGCGGGCTCTGTTGTCATCCCCGATGAGGACGTTTTGGATAATCCTGCTGACATGTCGAGGCTGCTTCAAGAGGCGCTTACCCGAACAGGTGTCTCTAGGCCTGCTTCGGGTACAAGTGTTTCTTCACGGAGTTCCTGGCCGGAGGTCAAGCAACCAAAAAGAATATGCTCCTCCACTGTCGGGGAAAAGAATAAGAGGGCGAAGATTGTTGTCCCCGAGTCGTCTTTGGAAGTTGTGGTGACTAGTCCTCCTCCCGGGACAGTCATAGACACTGTGATGATCGTCGATGATGGAGAAGCTAGTGATGGGGAAGCTTCTCTATATAGAAGACGACGATCCTCATCAACTCAATAGAATGTTAGTTACACCAACCGAGGACGATGTCTCGGCAATTTGGGGGGAGTTTGAGATGGTAGAAAATGCCAACTCCCGTTTTCGGGTTCCAGTCGTTGTGCCCGGTAATGCGGGGCTAAGTACCGGGTCCCTACCATCTTTGATTGGCGATCAACCAACAACTAGCACTGCATTTTTCGCAGTTGCTTTTCACCCTTCATCGTCATCAGCTTTATCTCCTTCTTCACCAGCTCTTCCATAAACAACTGCTACATCATCTCCACCGGCCGCATCTGTCCGAGAAGAGAATGTTACTCTTCCCCAGTCCCCAGTTCATGGGAATTTGGAGCAAAATTATACTGCCCCCTCTGAAGATCCGCAAAGAAGGAGGAACTATACTCTCTTGGTCTTCACCGGATGCAACTCGCTATCCCGACCGGTGGAACTTACTAATTATTTGAAGCCTTTATCTTCAGAGAACGATTGGGAAAAGATACAGGCTCTTTCGGGAGAATACTTGTTGAACAACGCCATGCACAATGCAGCAGCGGTACATTCTTTACTTCCTTTGTTATTTCTTCTATTTTTGCCTAAAAATATCCTAAGTTTGCCTTTCTTGCTTTGCAGGCCAACTTTCTTTCTTCTGAAGGCCTCCAAAGGTTGATTCTTGAAAAGGAAGAACTTACCTCTGCACGGGATCAGCTTTTGGCTGAGCAGGAGAAAACTATCGTTCGCCTCTCTGAATTAGAAGCTAAATCTGTTGAGGCCGCTGTATTGGAGACTCATTTGCAGCAAAGCGAGCAAGAAGTGATAACCATTAGCCAAGAGATTGGCCAGTCGAGGGTTAAATTTGACGAAGTCGAGGCTAAATGGTCCAAGATATTGTCGTTCTTACTGCAACCGACCGCGAGGCTTCCTCCACTGAAAGATTGACCAACTTGGAGGCAGCCTTGAACTCCAAAACTGAAGAGCTTGTTGCTGCGGGGGTGAAACATGCTCAGCTAGAGGAGAAGTATAAGAAGACTATTGAGCATAATAGGCTTTTTAGCTCAACTGTCTGTGACCTTGATGTTAGCCTCAGATATGTTAGATCCGCCTGGGAAATCCTTTCTGCCGAGGTAATCCAACTCAAATAAGAACTTAAGCGTTGAGTGACTTCCCTCGTTGTTAAGAAAACTTACGTTATGTACATCATGAGGAGAAAAACCATGGAAGAGGCCAAAGCTAGTATCATTGACTTTAATGCTGAAATTCTAAGGCCCGTGAGCTTGAGTTAGCTGCTAAAAGTGGTCTCCCGGCAAAGCCTGATGCTTTCAGTTCTTCTAGTTTCGGTTCTGAAACTTCAAAAACTGAAGAGGAAACAGAAGGTGAAGATGCTGAATGCTAAACTGATGAAGGCCAAAATGTTGAGCCATCGGCGAATCTACCCACTTCCCATGGGGGCGCAGACACTTCTCTTCCTCCGGGTTCCGGTATACAGCAGTTTAGTTTTTCTTTTTCACCAACTTTTGTATCAGTGTCACTTGGCATGCTATTGTAAACAAAGACATCTTTTTGCTTAAGTATTGTTTGAGTCTTTCTTTCGTTTGAACGTTTATGCAAGTTTAGCACTCTCTTTTTTCTTTTGCCTGAGTATTTCGTGCAAGTTTTACTGTTTGCATCTTATTGCGTAAAGCCTTGGGTGTATTTTTTCCCGAAAGCATTTTGATTCCAAGCATAAGCTCTTCCTAAAATCAACCCTTTAACGTGAGGGTTTTTATAAGAAAGGGCCCTCTTATGTTTTTGGTGCTCTTGAAAAGGACGTCTTCTGTTTATTACGACACTGTATTTGAAGTACTTGTTTAGCTTTCAAATGAT